AGACAGTTTTTCCAGGTCATGTGGCCAGCATGACCAAGCTGCTTCTGGTGAAACCAGAGCAGTGCCCGGAAATGCCATTTACTTTGTCAAAGTAGACCATTGCAAATCCAGGTGCAGTGAAGCCATGGGCCATGGGTAAGGGCTTGGGAAGTTGCAATAAACACAGGGCAACCATTTCTGGGGCTAAACAGGATTCTAGTGCATTGATAACAGATGTTAGCTGATTTTGCTGCAGGCATTGGGTGTGTATCCTGTACCAACGAGCCTGTCTGCTGGCTGATTATTGGCAGGGTTAACCAAGGTTAAAGATCACCCTATGACATACATCAAATCAAGGCTACCCTTCCGAGGTCACCATTTTGGGAGTGCTTTGACCAATCAGGCACCTGTTTTGGCGTCCAGACTGAAGATCTCCCTCTGGATCCCTTTAATGGAATTCCCTGATTCCGTGGAGTGGAGGTGGGGCTCCCAGCACACACCCCTGTCCACCTTGACTAGGGATCCAATGCAATGCCTTATCCACCACCTGAGTCAGCCCCTCTCCGCAAACTCACTGCCAAACTGCTCACATCTGCAACCAATCCCTAAAACCATTGCAAATACAGTGGTACCTCGCAAGACAAATGCCTCTCAAGACGAAAAACTCGCAAGACGAAAGAGTTTTTTGTTTTTTGAGTTGCTTCGCGAGACAAATTTCCCTATGGGCTTGCTTCGCAAGACGGAAACGTCTTGCAAGTTTGTTTCCTTTTTCTTAAAACCGTTACAGTAATACAGGGTGCATTGCTTGAAGAGGTGCAGTTGCAACTTGACTTCGAGGAGCAACACGTTGCACGCGGTGTGGTAGCCTTTTTTGAGGTTTTTGAAGATTTTTTAGAAAAAACTGAAACCGTGCTTTGCAAGACGAAAAAACTCGCAAGACGAAAAAACTCGCAGAACGAATTAATTTCGTCTTGCGAGGCACCACTGTATCAAATAACCAGACCACATTACCCATTGGTGATAAATACACCTCATAAAGTCTGACCACAACTGCTGCTTTTCTGCAGCTGACAGTAGGAGGTCCTTATCAACCAAAGCACTCCAGTTTTGCTTTTAAATTCTATTTCCGTTTTTGATTTGTACTGCTTATTTACAACAGGCAGCCGGGGATAACTCAACAGATACTTTTGTAGCACCTTAAAGTCTAGTTGATTGATTGTGGCAGAAGATGTACAAGTAAAAACAGACATCATGTTTGGACATAATAAACTATGTTTTAATGGTACATGAATAAGTTTTTGATTTGTAGAATCCTGCCCCCCCCTCCATCAGCCATGAACATTTTTTCTCATTGTCAACTACGGTTTGTTGTTATGTCTGAACTAGGATAGGTTGTGGTTAGTTTTAATCATGGTTTGCCCAAGCAAGCCAACTTCAAACTGTGATTTCTAATCCTGGCTCATTCAAATATAAACCATAATTAAAACTCACCACACTTACTGGTTTGGATATTATGACAAACTGTGGTTAGTTAAAAACTAAAGTAAATACTCCCAATCTCACAGCCATGCTATAGGACAGGAGCCGGCAAGGTTTGTTAGTTTCTGTTTCTCACTGAGCAGCTGCGTGGAGTCACAGGACTCTGTTTACATTCCTGGGATTCCATACGATTGGAGTCTCACTGGAAAGGGATCCGGGATGAGATGTTAGTGGTTTCCTGTTTCCTTTGTTCCTTTGTTCAGTTGCTCTCTGCTTTCATAGAGAGGATGTCTTTTCTGTTCTGCGTAGCTAGAAAATAAAACTCTTTAAAATGTAGCACATACTGTTTCATCCTTCCCTACGCTGGGAACTCTGCTGATTGAAGAATGTGCTTAGAGCCTTATCAAAGGCTCAGGTCATTAAACACGTTGGAGGCTGTTTCAAAGGCTCGGTTGAATGGAGTTCCGACAAGGTTTACCAGCCATGGGCTGGATCACTCCCATGGAAATCGTCTGTGGGTCAGACTGGCACAGCGCAACACCAGAAATCACTTCTGCGCATTCCAAGACGCCGAAAATCGTGCCTGCGCAGAAGCGATTTCTGGCATCTGGACATGCGCAGATGCGATTTCCGGTGTCTGCGCATGCGCATATGTGATTTCCGGCGCTGCTCGGCAAGTCCCTGCACCATTCTGCACCAGTTTACAACAGTGTGGCGGGGACTCGCCGAGCAGGCGGCTTGGTTCAAGGGTGGCTTGGGGGCCGGTAAAATGGTCTTCTTGGGCTGCATCCAGCCCATGGGTCGCACGTTGCCGACCCCTGCTATAGGAGGACAGTGGAGGAGGAGCTTTTCGCATATCGTACTAAATTATAGTTTAGCATTATATCGAAATTAGACCATTGACACTAGCCTTATATTTGCAGAAGAGGATTACTTCTGCTTAAGTGGGCAGTACAGTATAACTATTGTCTAATATATATTGTCACAGGGTTGATTTATCTAGTGCAGTGATTTCCAAAGTGTGTTCAGGAAAGCCGGGCATTCTTCAAAAGCTTCCTTGGGGTTCTGCAAGGACAAATGAGAAGAAACACATGAAAGAAGTAAAGTACTCTTTCCCCTCTCTGCTATGCTCAGAATTCTTTGCAACATGTTGTGGTTCCAGGGCAAATTTCTGGGCATTCCTCAGTATGCAAATTGAGATAGTGCCCTGAAGGTAGAATGCTTGAAAAACCATCTATCGCAAGCACCCGTTTGTAGTGCCAATTTTGCCATTCTTCTTCTAAGTAGTTTTTTGCATTGCTTTGTTTTGCATTTTGGAACTTCCAGGACAATCAAAAAGAGCAGCATGCAGGGAGGTGAGGTTGGACACTAGACATTAGTTTTCCTTCCCATATTCGACTCTATCTGGGAAAAATGAAATTCCTTTCTTTTTAGGTGGACATTGCATCTCAGGAAAACTGCCTCTGAGTCATTGCATATATTACAGGGTCTCCTGCTTAGGTTGTCAATGAACATTCGAGATAAATTCAAGCTGGAATTCTTAAGACCAGTTTTCACAGCATGAAAGTTTGCAGAAAGAAATGTGTGGACTATATGATCAGAATTTGTTTGCATTTGGCAGTGATTTCATCAGACATTTAATTGTACAAAGTGCTTTATAATGCTTAACTTGCACAATCTGAAATATTGATTTGATGTTGAACGTTGTGTGAGGGTGTTTTTTGGTTTCTGCAGAGACTCTCAAAAGCAATAAATGAACACATTTTGTATCCGAAACTTGAATTTCATGCCTGAAACCTAGATATTGCAAGAATCATTCTGTATTGCTTAAGCTACTGTCCATACCCACAAGCACACACAGCTGAAGATCTATTACTGGTATCGAGATAATAAATGTTATAATAAAGACAGTTCTCAAAATTTAAACTGTAGGTCTTACAGTAATAGATTCATCAGGGGATGCAAATTCTGTTTTGAAATACACAAACATTCATTTTGTAGTTTTGTCAAGGGGAAAAGTCATACTGGAAACAGATTTTCACATTTATCAAACTCTTAGGCTTTGTGGTATACTCAACCATTTCGGTAATTAGCAATTCCAGAACTGTTATTGGTATCAAATGATATTGCATTGCATCTCATGGGACACCCTATTGACCATAATGGATAAGGGAGGGTAAAAAAAATGAATTGAAGTCATTCATCTATGGTATACTTCCCAGGTTTGAGGCCACTGTATTATTATTATTATTATTATTATTGGATTTAATATCCCGCTTTATCACTACCCGAAGGAGTCTCAAAGCGGCTAACATTTTCCTTTCCCTTCCTACCCCACAACAAACACTCTGCGAGGTGAGTGGGGCTGAGAGACTTCAGAGAAGTGTGACTAGCCCAAGGTCACCCAGTAGTTGCATATGGAGGAGCAGGGACGCAAACTCGGTTCCCCAGATTACGAGTCCACCGCTCTTAACCACTACACCACACTGGCTCTCTGTAGCAGATACTGACTGATATCATTGCCAAGAACTGAGGTTGGTCTGTATTTGTATAGCTTTCATATACAAATCCAAATCCAAATATGGATTTAATACATTCTTAAGACTTAGCAGATAGTAAAATGAAGGAATCCAGGGGATCATCTTTAAACATGCATCCATTTCCACAATTGGCCCCTTGTGTCTTTTGAGATTGTGCCTCTGAATTTAGTGGGAGTTACTTCTGAGCCGACATGTGTAGGATTATACTGCAAACCATCTGAATTTATGTATACTAGAAATCAGCAGGACAAGTTAGTCGTGGCTTAATTTAAGTCCCATTGATTTTTGTGGGAACTAAGACCAATTAAGCAAATCCAGCCCGATTAAATTTGTATATTTAACATTTGTAGATTATGTTAAATCTTGCAGATTTAAAATTCAGTGATATAATCCAGCCCGAACTGAACAATTGGAAGTTCCATTGATTTCAGTGCAAAGTTTTTATACTTGCTTAAAACATTCCCCACTGAAATTAAATGGTTTTTTTAAAAAAAAGAAAAGAAAAGAAAATGCTGAGCTTTGGTTGCTTTACTTTGATCATGTTGTTTAAAATATTTATAAATTTCAAAGTAAAACCTCAAGTGTTGAAAAAGTACAAAACACAATAATTTAGAAGTAAGTAAAAATGAAAAAAAAAATCAGATAAATCTCTCCCCACCCCACCACCCAATTTTTTTCAAACTCCTCCTGAACTGGAGAATTTCACCCAACCCAAATATTCAGCGAAGTGACTTTGCCTGTTTTGTTGCCTTTGAGTAGTATGAAAGAATTGGAATACAACTGTGGATTTAGTTTTATTATTGTTCAATATACTGAGCCAGTGTGGTGTAGTGATTAGAGTGTTGATCTTGGACTGGGAGACCAGGGTTCAAATCCCCACTGAGCCCTGAAACCTTCTAAGTGACCTAGCAAATATTGGTTGCATCCACATCATTCATTTAAAGTACATTTTTACTACTTTAACCATTATGGCTCCCCCTAAAGATTCCTGGAAACTGTAGCTGTTCCTTCCAGGGATTGAACCTGCAACCTTGGTGTTCTTAGCACCACACTCTAACCGACTGAGCTATCCAAGAAATGTTGGCTTAGATATAGTCTGCCCCAAGTTCTTCTAGTCCTCCTCTCTTAGCCCATTGCTTCCTTTACCCACCAATTGGAACCAATAATATGTTTTCATACTGTATTAACCAAGTTGAAAAATCTCAGAAGGGTAGTTGAGTAGTTTTCTGAGGCCATTCTTTCAACCAGACTGTTGAATTCTACGCCCCAACCCCCAGCAAATATGTAATGAAGTTACACCACCCCTGAATATCATGTGGAGGGTTGGGGGAGGGGGTAGGTCTTCACACAGCCCTACAAAAATGCAATTCCCAAGATTTTGCAAAAATTACCATTTAATTTCATCTCTATAAAACATGCTGATCTGATACGGCAAATAAGGCTGCTGTCTGTGAAAGGGGCTGCTTAAAAGAAACATATGTCCAGGTAAAAATGTCACACCGCTTGTATATATGAAAATGAATTCTATTGCTGCACTGTGCCAGGTTTTTTTTAAAAGGAAACTTAGCTTGTTCTGTATAATACAGCAAATGGTTTTCCATTCCCTTACTCACTAGGTAACAGAAACCCGGACTGGTCCTCTTGGCTGCAGTAACTATGACAACCTAGATTCTGTCAGTTCTGTTCTGGTTCAGAGTCCGGAAAATAAGATTCAGTTGCAAGGTACGTGGGTGGAATTTTGTTAATTTCTTGTAGGAAGATGTTTATAGGGATATTTGTCATTTTATTTTATTTTTTGAAAACTTCTTCCTGAGCAATACATTCCATTGATCTTAAACTAGTGAGTGGAGAGTGAGTATGTGTTTATGTTTTTTTTTTGTCACATTTTAAAAGCCAGGCCTGTGAAATTTGTGGAACTTCTTGGGTTAGAGCTGGTGTCGATCAGGTTTGGGGATCCCAAGGGCCACATTTCTTTACCAGCAAGCTTCTGAGGGCCACATGTTGGTGTGGGCAGGGCCAAGAGCAAAAGTGGAAGGGCAACTGATCTATCTATCTGTCTATCTGTCTATCTGTCTATCTGTCTATCTGTCTATCATCTGTCTATCTATCTGTCTATCTATCATCTATCTATCTATCATCTATCTATCATCTATATCTATCTATCTATCTATCTATCTATCTATCTATCTATCTATCATCTATCTATCATCTTCTATCTATCATCTATATCTATCTATCTATCTATCTATCTATCTAATCTCCTTTGAACAGTGGGGTAGTTTCCTTGCTATATAATCCTAGAGCTAGGATAGCTCAGTCGGTTAGAGTATGGTACTGATAACGCCAAGGTTGCAGGTTTGATCCCCATATGGGACAACTGCATATGTCTGCATTGTAGGGGGTTAGACCAGATGATCCTCAGGGTCCCTTCCAACTCTACAGTTCTATGATTCTGTTGTCAGTGGCAATTGCTGGCAAGTGAACCACTTAATAGTGAGCTAAATTATTTTGTGTTTGCCTGTAGGTGATACAGATACTCATCCTTGTGCTACCAGTTGTAGGACTTCATCAAGCTAAAATACCCATATAATCTCAAGGAAGGGGAAACAGACACAGATCAAGCTAAAATACTTATAGGATCACGGGAAGAAAATAGCAATGGGAAATGTGAAACAAAGGTTCTGGTTGTTTGCATTCTCCTTTTCAGTATGTTCTTCCTTGGTTGCTGGTTACAGCTACAGAGATTATTTTTAAAACTCAGATAATTTGTGCTAAGCTTCTTGAAATTCTTTTAGCTTCCCACAAAATTTCACATCTGCTTGGGCTCCTTCTGTGAAAGCTTTTGATGGTGTAAGACTTTCTCCTGAAAGCAGCCTCTGCCACCATCATCCAAATGGAGCTGTTCCTGGTGCTGAAACCTTTGCTGGTTTGGAATGAGGGCTGCCTGAAAATAACACTTTTTGGCTCTTGGGACAGGCAGTGAGAATTATCTTCCCACTGAATTGACATATAAGCTCAACATCCACCCTCCCCTTCCACTTCTCACATAATAGGACAGCCTATCTTGAATATCACATTGTACGCCTGATATTTTGGGGCATATAACAGTTTGATAGATGATCCTGTCATTTTCATTGGGGCTCATATCTCCACTGTGTTTATGGAAATTATTTGCCGTTCGGAAGCTGCTCTCCCTGAGCTCGACATAATATTTGTCAGTAAAATGCTTAGGAAATTGGTTGTTACATCAATCACAGACCTGTTTTGATACATGCCGTTGGATTCCTACAGAAAAATCGTGGCACACAGAACTGCCTTTTTAAACCATTTCATAGTCAATGTTGCCTTGGTGAGTAAAGGGTAACACACAGTCCCAAGTTTACTATGCTCCCCCACAAAAAAATTACCTTTACATATATAGATAGATGGCAAGTGAAATTGAGAGGGGGGGGGAGAGGAGCACAGCCTCAGCTGTGGTTTTGTTATGAACAGGAGCCATGTGGTTTTCGGACTTTTAAAATATTTTCATTACATGTCTTGTGAAGACTTTCCTGATCCATAAGATCAGACTTTGTTTTTCCCCGAATTCCTGATTTTACCTCTTCCAGATTATATAATGTTGTTTTCTTCTTTTTGGTATACTCTTGTATTGTTAGTTTTTATGTTATTTTTGTTACATTATTTTGTTGTTATGTTTTTATGTTATTTTGTGCATATCTCTTAGGGATTTAATATTAAGCAGTTTTGAAGTGCTAAGTAAATAAACAAACAAAATAATAGTATTCTCTCTGGCTTGCTGGCCTTCCACATCTAGGGTTTTTTTTGTGATCCTCCCTCTTGTATTTTGAAGTGGTACCATCCCAGGAGGATAGCACCATATACTTTGAATATCATAAGGAGACCCAGAGAAAAGGGGTTGCATTCACAACGGAAAATACATATAGGGCGTAGGGGTGCCATTGCCTTCCTCCTCCACCCTAAGCCCCATTAACCCTACAACCTAGATGAAGAGGGAGACAACAGATATAACTGAATGGAGCTAAAACAGCTTAAAGGCCAAGTACTTGGATGGAACTGGCTCATAGAATTTGGCTCCCAGTCATTTGTAAACACCTTCATTATATCAGAAAGGACCAGATGTGATGAGCTGGAAGGATGATACCTGCTAATATAGACTATATCCTTGACTGAATTGATTTACTCCCTATTTAGTTTGCATTGCTTCCTGTGCATTGCTGCCTGCAAATGTTTCTTGACTGCCGTGATCAAGAGAGTAATCCTGGTGCCAAGCCCGTGCATCAATACACAGCAAAGCAGAGAGACCTAGGCTCAGCAATTCCAGATAGCACAAAGCCAGTTCTAAACTCTCCTTCATTTTTTGATAGTTTTCACAAAAGGAAAGCACTCCAGCTAATCTTCTGTCTGATAAAAACAACAACAACCAGTTACCTGGATTGATATGTGAAACACATGTAGACATGTAAATACTTCACATTGGTGTAGATGCCACCAGTTGTGTGGGTCTTTCCGATACTATCAACATCCCACTAGGAAGCAGAATGCCCTATCCACATATTTGGGTTGCTGTAGTCACTGCCATTATCAACAACATTCCCTCATTGTCATATTTATTGCTATTCCTACATATTCCTCAGTCTTGTGACATTGTAGCAGGGGGAAGCAGCTGCCATGCTGTGATAGATGATGATGATAGATGATAGATAGATAGATAGATAGATAGATAGATAGATAGATGATAGATAGATGATAGATAGATGATAGATAGATATAGATATAGATATAGATATAGATATAGATATAGATATAGATATAGATATAGATATAGATATAGATATATGAAGGTGATCTTCATCTGACATAACTAAGGGGTTAATCTAAAGTGAAACCAAGCTATAAACAAGGGCCGTAGGATAACAAAGGGCTCTTTGCACACCTTCATTTCATCCTGAACAAGTGTTTTTGCACATGCTGAAACATAATCCTGCGTTACTTTTGTGTAGGGCAATGCCATGTTTCCTGGGGAGTTGGGCCTTCCTTTCAGCCCCGCCCCCAGTATTGCACCCCCTTCCTTTGATAATTTCGCACTGTGTTCAGCAATGTCTGCAAAGTGATTCTGAGCTGTGAATTCCTGCTCAAATGCAAGGGCTCTTGAGTGATTGGGATTCCCATTTGTGCAGGTTTTCTGTTGGCACAAAGCCCTTAGATGCAAGTGTGAGTGTATGCTTTGGAGTTCTGTTACATACAACTGTGCGGAACACATGGTTTTGAGGAAAGGGGGTGTAATGGCCAAGGAATGGCTGGAAGTGTGAACATAACATTCACTGGCTCCCCAGTGAACATGGGATTGCCCCATACCTGAGTAATGTGGGCATAGGGCTATAATTGTTAGATCAATAATACCAAAGTGGGTACAGTTCAGGTTACTGCGACCTGAAATATGACTCTTTCATTGATTTAAGAAATACATACAGTTAAGACAACCTGGCATTCCCCGTCTTGGCAGACAAGCTTTGTTGATTTCAAAAGCATCTCTTTGAAAAGGAGAATAAAAGCATATTGAATGTTAGATACATGGACAATAGTGCACTGCTCTTAAACATTCATTGCATATTAATAAAGCTTCTTTTATAAAGATTTCATTGACCCACTTGCCTGGTCACCTGTGGCAGTTCAGAATCACCTCCACACAGCCAGTTTTCCCCTCCCCATCAGGTTATTCGTATGCAGTGCTGGATTTACATATAAGCTAAATGAGCTATAGCTTAGGGCCCCACTCCCTTGGGGGGCCCCAAAATTTTTTAAAGGAAAACAAAACTGGATATACTTTCCCAAAATATAAGATAAAAAAACAAATAAAATAAAACCTACATACTACAACAACAGTGTTTTGTGTTGCATAGGCTCCTATGATGTAAGTAATGGGCCCCGGTTGCTAGCCTGCTCCCTAAAATATCACTGGTTTGCTCATTTCTATATACAGTGGTACCTTACTTCTCAAACTTAATCCGTTCTGGAAGCCTGTTCCAAAACCAAAGCGTTCCAAAACCAAGGCACGTTT